GTTTAAAGTGGCTGCCAAGAAATATTCTGACACTTACCCATGTGTAAAATGGCAACATGTCATTTTTACTTATCAGTTTTTGTACGGATTAAAGCAACACAAGAAAAAAATCCTTATGTTCAGCTACCTGTCTCTACTCTGTAACTTCTTTTTTATAGATATGAGTGTGGTATCGATCTTCTTTTCTAACAGTCTAGAAAGCAAAAGAAGTGTATTTCCCAAAATGTCAAACTAATCCTAGCTGGTGTGTTACCGGAGGCCACAGATCAGCAGGCCCGTGTCAGTGAGCGTCTCATTGAGGAGAGGCAGCATTCACTGTGGCCTATCTAAGAGGCTCAGCATAGTGTGCGAGTGACGCCATCCTCGGGATCACAGAAACACCATTATCAGTAGTCACTGACATCACTCAGCCCTCCACAACAGCAACACAACACCCCTCCAAGGCTCACACCCGCCTCCTGCAGCACAGTCATTGTGTTTGCCTGTCAGCCCATTGTCTGTGTCGGGGGAATGGTGGACAATGTCGCCAATCTCTGTCCAAACCATGATCCAACACTGCTATTGTGACCCGTCTTTTTCCCCACTTGACCAGGCAAGATGGTGCTCCCGTGGGATGAGGGCAGGAGGGGGGGTCCTCTGTCCTGCCTGGCACTGGGGAAGAGTGTGTGAGGAGGGCACAGATCATCAATCTGTGATGCTAGTACAGTCACTGTGGACAGGCTACATCCACGCAGCCCAGCCTGGATGTCAACATCATCATCACTTCTCTCCTTACAGTGAGCGTTACACAGTGGATGTTCCTTCTTCTCTGCAGCTGGAGTCCTCGCTGTTTGTCTGTCTCCAGCATGAAGCCAGGATAACTCAGTTATCTACACTGTGAGGAGTTTCACTCCTGAGAGCAGCCTGTGCAAATGAAATTTACAACTTCACCACTGGAAAGAAGTTCCTTGAAGCTGGATTATTTCTACGTGAAGCAGCATGTCTTCTGCAGAATAACACACAACAAGACCAATCAACAGTTGGATTTCACAATCCAACTATTGTCATGCTTTGACTAAGGTTGTGTGATGGGATGCAGATGGATGAACAGCAGCACATGACACTCATCTAACACCAAGTGAGTACTTTTTCTCAGAGGCTGAGTTGAAGCTCAGTTGCTGATAACAGTTATATAGTTGCAGTGAATAGAAAAGTAACAGTTGAATTATTTATATTCACTCAAGGTGTCAGTCTGGTTCTTTGGCTGGCTGAGCTGCGACTACTGCCATGCAGACCTTCTACCAGCCCCGCCACACCATCCGTCACCCTCCAGGTCTCTACCTGGACCCCACGCTTCTGCAGCGACGTGTCCTGGAAGATCAAGTGGAGCTGTGGTGGTTCAGAGAGCCACGGCGCTCCCTGTTGTGCTACTGCGCCTCTTTTGCCCTCATACTGGGGCTGGGGCTCGGTGGCGTGGGCCTCCTCTCCACCACCACCAGCCTGTCCGGGGAGTGGCGCCTCGGGGTGGGAACTACCCTCTGCCTTTTAGCCCTGGCTGTTCTGCTCAAGCTGCTCCTCAGCTCTGCCATCCAGGACATGAACTGCGTGCGCAGCTGGCATCAGATCGACCAGCTGAGGAGCGGCGGGAGGGCTGACCCGGCACTTATCATAGCTGTGGGGCTGGCGGTGATGCTCTGTGGGACCGTGCTTCTCTGTGTGGCCACACTCGGCAGCCAAGGTCATGACAGCAAGGAGATGTTGGTGTCGAGCCTGGTGCTGATGGCTGCTGGGGCGGGCATGGCTCTGGCTGTAGTGGGCTACGGTGTGCTCATCTACCTTCAAAGAAGAAGGGAGCAGAGGAGGAGGATGATGATGAGAATGAGCAGAGCGAGGAGGCTGGGGGGTCGAGCTGTCAGGGTGTTCAGTGTCTCAGGGGGACAGATGAGCCAGGTCAGGAGAGAGACGTCCTCCAGCAGGACCAGCCTGATCTGAATTAACTGAATGGGCAAAATCACTCAGAGAAAAAGGATCAACGAGTCTGTGAGAGGAAAGTTCAGAATACATTTCTTCATTGGAGACGTCAGACTTAGTCTTGTGTTCACATCATATCCACAAAATCACTACATTCACTGTATTCAGGATGTTTCTGTGCTCTGCCACTGACTCAGAGACCAAGGTCAGCAAAGTGAATGAATGAATGAATGAATGAAACTGGAATTATAAAGAGTTTATTCATAAAGTGCATTTCCAATAAAACGATTTCAGACTGTACAAACAAATGAAAAACTCTTTGTTGTCTCACATGAATACACTCAGACTCCTGCCTCCCACACATGATGAAGAGTTTGACGTTTCAATTTGTTTCAATTCTTTGCTGCTGATTTGCAGATAAAATGTCGTCAACCAACCACTTGACTTGAACGTCAATAATTTACCTCCCTGACAGATGCTTTTTAAATTTGTCATTTAATGGTTTGGGTTATTAGTGGCCGATGACTGTGTAGCTTCCACCTATTGAGTTTGGATTCACAGGGTTGTGATGAATGGAGCAAAAAGGAGCTGATCAGTGGATGCAGATTCACAGAAAGCAGCTCCCATCTGCTGTGTGACTGTGTCCAAATGTACTGTTCTTCATTTTAACTCATATTTGAATGAAGTTTTTGTCTGGACCCCGACAGCTGTAGCACTATTAGTTGGCCAAACCTTTTTGATTGTGGGCAATATACAGAAAAACATAAGACGTCAAGAGCCAAGCAATACTGAATGCATAGTTTTCAACCAGTTACATGACAAGAAAATCTGTGTTATGACCAGTAAAGCCCATTTGCCATTGTACAGAGTGTTTCTCCATCCTCTGTCTTTTCATTTTTACTGAGGTAAATATTTTCGCTGATTAGAAATCAATCATCAGAGGTAAGGTATGAACTTAGTGTTCAAATGATGTTGGCAAATTAATTGGTTATTGGCTTTTTCCTGTTCCAGACTTTCTGTATTATGTTGTTATTATATTAAAAAATCCAATATCAGTCAACCTCCAGTGTGAACAGCAACTTCCAACAATTTACACATGGATATACACACAATATATTCGTTTTTAAAAATTACAGATTTCAGCTGTAAAGGGAACAATTTATACTCATGAAAGGACAGAATGGAGATAATCTGGCAGGCAACATTTCCACTTAAAGGTCCAGTGTGTAGCATTTAGAGGCATCTTCGGCACAAATGAAATATAATACTCATGGCTACGTTTTTGTTAGTTTATTATCACCTAAAGATAAGAACTATTGTGTTTTCTTGACTGTACAATTAGCTGTTTATATCTACATACGGAGCGGGTCCTCTTCCAGAGTCTGCCATGTTGTTCTACAGTAGCCCAGAATGGACAAATCAAACACTGGCTGTAATTAGGACAATGTTTTTGCCTTGGTCACCATAGTTCACTTACACACTTGGCACAAAGGTCAGCTGTCACCGATCGATGCCACAAAATTCTACACACTAGACCTTTAATGCATCGTCTTCAGGAAAACAGCCAATACAACCAAGGGCCAAGTAGACAAAGTGACGTCTAGTGAAGACCCAGTACAGTCCAAATGCTGCCTCTCTAGACCCATTAAAGTTTTAGTGGTTATAATCTAGGTCAAAAGTTCCTTACTTGTCCAGCCACGGGGTCCAGATTTCTCCATGGTCATTAGTTCAAAGTCCACACAGTTTGATACATTCAGCGCTATACTTGCATTTGGCCATGTCGCCAAGCTAGTTTGCTGTCTCTGTTATGTAGCTGTCTGTCAGTCACTCTACAGCAGGAAATGGCACCTCAACATAAAGGTTCTGTACCTTAAATTTACTGTACTTCAGAGCTTGACATATTCATAAGTCACTTGCAGTCCATTCACATTGGACCTGTGACCCACTTTTGCACCACGACCCATCAGTTGGGAACCACTGATGTATTATACAGGTAATCTCTATTTTTTCTATCACTGAATCTGCTCTCCTGCTCCAGCCTACATGAAGCATGTGATACAACTACTATACTGTACTGAACTACTGTAATGAACTCAAAGACAAGCAGTAACATTTTTCAAAAAATCTATTTACTTCTTTTTATACATTTTTGTTATAACTTTCGTCATATTATGATTTTAAGACACATCATTGCTGCAGCTTCGGGCGTTTTGAAGCAACTGTGACTTATTCAGCTTTCACATTCATCATACACCTACTGTTCACTGTTAACAGTTCCCAAACTGTGGGTTGAGGCACCTCTGAGTCACAGGATAATCCTAGAGTTTACAAAAATTATTAATTTGAACAGGAGAAAAGAAAAAAATTCTGAAAACAAATTTGTTCTTTTTTTAAACTTTTTTTAAACTTAAAAACTCGATTTTTATTATGATATTGATAGTTTTGCATATTCTAGTGTGACATTATTTACATGGACAGTTCACACCAACATAAAAATCCCTACGTTTCCTCTTACGTGTGGAGCTATTTATCAGTCTAGATTGTTCTGCTGTGAGTTGCAGAGTGTTGGAGATATCAGCTGTAAAGATGTCTGACTTCTCTCCAATATAATGGAACTAGATGGCACTCTGTTTCTTACCCTGTTGTAATAAGTTTCATGTTAGTACTATTTTCTTTCTATCGAACTACACCCACCATGCAGAAGGAAGCGTGCATCTACTCATGGATGAGAGGCTTGTGCTCATCACAGTGTGAGATGTAAAAATGAATGGTGTCCTCCTTAGGTAAGCTGTAATGTTAGCTAGCTCAGTGGTGCTACAGTAGGTGAGCTAGCAGTAGATGCACACTTCCTTCTACACAGTGATTCAGTTAGTGGGTGTAATTTGGAAGAAAGAAAATATTTCCGACATAAACTGCTCCCAACAAGGTCTGTGGATTATCTTGAGTAACCAGGTCATGATTTCTGGAAAGAGACATTGATGTTGAGTTTTCCAAATGTATTTTTTGGCACTTTGAGCACCACAAGCTGAGTGCCATCTAGTTCCATTATATTGGAGAGAATGCAGACATCTCTACAGCTGATATCTCCAACACTCTGCAACTCACACAAAAACAGTCTAGATGATAAATAGATCTACAGGCAAGAGGGAAAATATGTATTTTTGATTTTGGGGTGAACTGTCCCCTACATTTCTGTATCACTGTTTTCCTGTTGACTGTGAATCAGAATCTTTTCTATGGTATAATTTTATTTTAGCTGTAGTCCCTCTTTATTTGATCACCCTATTGTGAACTGAAGATCATCATCACTGTCTTCTAACCCTTCCTCATCCTCTTCCTCCTCTCCCTCTCTCTCTGCCCTGTTCTTCTCACTGGGTTCGATATAGTTATCCTCAATGAAGCCATCGTCATCGTCATCCAGCCCTCTTTGAGTCCCTCCAGCCACTCCCATCCTGCCCGACACACTGTGAGGGAAGGGCACCCCGTCATGGCCATACTGGCTGACCCCGTCCGTCTCTTGGAGCAGGGAGTGTCTGTAGCTGGCCAAGAAGCGATGGAAGAGGCGGAACTTGACAGTCATCACGATGAGGAGTGAGATGGTGAGGACTGTGCCCAGACCTGCAACCATATAAGACCAGTCCAGTGACTTTGGGCTCTCATTGTCTGGATCAGCTGCTCCTGGAAAGACAGCAGGGAAAAACAAACTTTATTGCCTCTGGTGAGGTCAATACCAGGCCATTCAAATAGTTTCCCGTAACTGAAGTGTGACAGAGTTCAAAGTTCCTGAAACACACCTGGTTGTAAATACTTAGATGATGGTAAATTACCCAACAGGGTTTGTGACTTACTTTGAATCGTACTGTTATGGTTGGTGTTATCATCCTCTTCCACCAGGAGATGTCTCTGACTGCCTTTGTGTCCCCCAAACTCAGATATAGCAGCCTGATGTGCTTCTCTGATAAAAGCTCCACAAAGAACAAACACCACAAAGAGGCTGCAGCTCCACTGGCCCATCTCTGCGTCCTGAGGGAGGACCTAGAGATCAAATCGTCAGGTGATTACTGAGGATAATGGGAGGGTGCTGGGAGAGGTGCAAAGTGTTAAGACGTTTTGCACACATTACATGTTTCTTAACTTAATATCATAGCTTAATTTATTAATAATTAATAATTAATGTACCAACACAGTCTTACGGAAATACATGGACATGACCTCTCAACAACACACGGTGGTGGGCATGAAATGTGTTAAAATTACATGCTAGCAACACAAAAACAATGCCAGTGCAGAGTCCGTTATAAACAGTCACACTTTGTTAGGTAAAGAGAACAAAAACATGGTTATGTTCAGGAAAAGATCATGGTTTCGGTTAAAATAACTACGTACAGGACGTAAGTGATGTAAGTGTACATAATTTGTGTAGTTACTCGGAACATGAACAGCGATCTCCTGGTTGAAAGTCCATGTTTGTTCGACCCATCCACCACCCATCCAGTCCTAACCCTATGCAGACTTTCTCGCTCTTTATATTTAAAGGTCCAGTGCGTATGATTTAGGGAGATTTAGAGGCATCTAGTAGTAAGGGTTGCATACTGAAACTTCTCCTGGTTAGAAATCCTTACATGGTCATCTTTCAGGAGGTTTCTACCAGGAGCCGAATTATCCACAGAGGTCTCTTCTTCTCCGAAACAAACAGATCAGGTGATTAAAACCAATTAAAACACTGAATAAAACTGTTTCACGTTACAAATTATTGTTTCTCCAATGCTGTTTGGCATCTAGGAGACATTATGATATCCCAGCACCTGCTAATCTGTGCTCACCTTCTTCCTCTGATAACTTAAGATCCAGAGATTCAGGTGGTTTTTACCAGGAGCTGAATTATCCACAGAGGTCTCTTCCTCTCCAAAACAAATGGGCCAGGTCATTTAAACTAGTAAAAGCGTTGAATAAAACAGTTTCACTTTGAAAATGTTTCACTGAAAACATGAATGGTCCTATCTACAGTAGAGCCAGTGTTTGGTTTGTCCATTCTGGGCTACTGTAGAAACATGGTGGTGCAACATGGAGATGGAGGACCTGCGCCCTATGTAGATAGAAACAGTTCATTCTAAGGTAACAAAAACACAATTATTCTTATTTTCAGGTGATTATACACGAAAGAAAATATACTTATGATATTATATTCCACTTCTGCCGATATATCCCCCTAAATCCTATACACTGGACCTTTAATTTGTGTGTCCACCACAACAAAAGATCCTCACTGACTTTGCATTAACATTGTTTTTGTGTTGCCAGCACGTAACTCAAACACGTTTGTGCCCACCGCCACATAATGTTTGTTTCTATGAGACAAGGCTGAACCTACTGTAATATTGTATGGGCAAGGACTTTTAACTTGTGCAAAACTCTGTACAGAAAAAGCACCGCTGCAGAAATCGTTCATTACATCACTTTTTCCAAACCTGTTATACCAGGTATACCACTCTTTTTTAAATTTCAGCTGTTGACTATTTTTTGACACCAACATGTTCTTAAAACGAGATTCAAGATTACAGATTTACCTTCTAGTTTTAGATTGTTTTGTAATAATTCACATCTCCACAAATAGCCAACATGACAGGCTAAGAATCTTAATCTTTGTTTGTGTAAAGCATCCTGTGGTCGGTTTGTTAACGGATTCCTCTGTGTCAATGTCTATGTTAAAAAAATAAAATGATAAAAAATGTACTGATGATTTAGTATGTGTATATTTTACCTTTTGTATGTCCTTTGAGTGAGTTTTTTGTTTTTTGATATATAAGCCATTACAAGTTTTTTGGGGGGGAATTTTTCCTTATCCGCTGTGAGGGTCCAAAGGACAGAGGGATGTCGTACGCTGTAAAGCCCTCTGAGGCAAATTGTGATATGTAATATTGGGCTTTATAAATAAAATTGAATTTAATTGAATTTAGTGTGATTTATATTTCTGTGTGTGAAACAAATAAAATGAAATCTGAAGTGTTAAACCTTAATAAGTAATTTTGCAGCACAAAATTTCCCTTTTGTGCTCCTATCCCTTATCAAGGAAACACTATGCAGGTAAACACAAATAGGTAAACTGTAACTATAACTAACCGTAACTTTGGAGGACATCCACTTGATTTGACGTAAAGCTTTAGCCTAAACTTGAAAATGCATTTCACACAGAACAAGAACTTGATTTCTTTCCCTATCACTTACACTGGGAATGGATCTTTTTGCAGCTCAACACTCACAGCAACCAACAGCTCAGTCAGTGTACATGTGGGGCTGTGCTATCATTTTAAGACAGACTTTAAAAAATGCAAAACCCTCCATTAATTGTTGAACATTAATGTTCAGCTAATGGGATATCCTGACACCTGCAGTGAGGATGACATACTTTCATATTTTACAGCTGATAAATGTTTAACCACTGTCTTGTGACTCTCAGAGGTGTGGACTTGAATCACATGACTTGGACTCAAGTCAGACTTGAGTCACAAATTTCATTACATTAGACTTTACAAAATCAAAAACAACTTGCAGTTTGACTTGGACTTTAAGACCAATGACTCATCACTTCAACTGGACTTGAGACTTTTGACTTGAAAATATGTGAAAACTTCCCCCAAAGCCAAATATTTATAAGTATGTCAATTCATTTCCTGAATAAACTAACATAAACACTATTCATCCCAAGCAGGTCAGCACTTAATTCCCCAGATTTACTTAGTCTGATCCAATCCATCAGCAACCAAAGCTGCATACTAATACGCATGAGAACCAGTTGGAAAAAATTATGCCAAAGATAATTTCATTTATGTACAAAAACTATGTTGTCAACAAAAAATGAATTGCAGTATCCAAAACATGTGGGTTGAAAATAACAGACAGATTTAACAACAATTTGATCAGACAAATTGGAGATTGTTAGATATGGATGCAAATTGTTCTTTTTCACCCTTCCATAAGCTCTGATTCAATTTACACTGTTCAACACGTCTGGTTTCAAAGATTTGATTAGCTCCAGCTCCATAATGGTATCATTATCGTTAGTGATTGCAGCAGCTTGTTTTGGGGAATCATAACCCCGAAATATCAGCAGTAAGTGCAAGTGTTTTGTTTTTCTTTTTAAAAGCCAAGAGCTAACAGGTGCCTTCAACCAATCATTAAACACCTCTGTTGTGGCTGACTTTTTAACAACCACTTTGTGGTTTGGTACTTCCATATTCACACATAAGATTACATGATGGTAAGAAGTTGACCTGCCAGGTCTTGAGCAGTGTTCATGATTCTAGTTCTGAACTGCTTACTTATTAACTTTAAACACAACATAAACACATATGTTTCGTACGAATAATAACCCTGAAGCCAGAGAGAAGAAATACAGTGTGTCCATCTTGTATAGTCTGGCTGAAGATATTTAATTTGAGGCAGCACTGACTCAGTCAAACACTAGTCAGACCCAATAACCTTCATCACAGAGGCATACGCAGGAACCCTGCTGTCACTTTACACAATCTACAACAACACAAAATGACTTACCTGTATTAAAAAGAATATCTGACAGCACAGGTGGACCCGACTTTAAACTGCTGTTTTTGTCCTCCTCTTCAGCTCCTTCTGAAAACACTAAAGACACTTGCCGGGCAAAGGTTACATGACATACCATAATACCACCCTCCTGCACCATGCCCTCAAGACAGAGATGTTAATGAGTAACTTTATTAGGTTTGTCCTCCATTTTGCCTCCTTATTCCTCTGACACTCACTTCTCCAGTCAGGAGTGAATATAAACCAGTATTTTGTTTTCATTCTGTCTTTATTGTAAGTGGCCCTCTCACAGCTTCAGCTAGCATTAAATGCTGTTCAACAAAGTGCATGTTATTCACAAAAGCCGAGGTGAAGCTTTAAAATCTCCTGAACATACTTCAGAAGAAGAGCATAGAGTGTGTTTCATCTTGTAAATATCTGGGCATTGTCTTACTATCTTACTGTACAATGACCAAAACTCTGTCCATCTGTGTGTCTGTTCCACGTTTTTCTCCTCACTGACTTGGTCAATCCATGTGAAATTTGGCACAGTGGTAGAGGGGCATGGGAGGATGCGAATGAAGCAATATTACATCAATTGGCCAAAGGGGGGCGCTATAGCAACCGATTGAAATTGCAAACTTTGAATGGGCATATCTCATGCCCCGTATGTCATAGAGACATGAAACTTTGCACAGAGATGCCTCTCCTCATGAGGAACAAATTTGCCTCAAGAACCCATAACTTACGGTTATATAGATTTTCCGCCATTTTGAATTTTTTGAAAAACACTTAAAATCGATCTCTTCCTAGGAAGTTAAACCGATCTGCATGAAACTTGGTGAACATAATCTAGGGACCAATATCTAAATTTCCCTCTTGGCAAAACCCCATCAAACAAAATGGGGGCGCTAGAGAGCTAATTTCTTATCAGGCCTAACCGCTGTATCGATTTTTATTTGACAGGACAGTGAAGTATGACAGGAGGGATGAGAGACAGAGAGCAAGGAAGACATGCAGCAGAAACGCAGGCCGGATTACAACCCCCACTGCTGCAACAAGGGCTAGCCGCACCTTTCCCATGTGAACTACCAGTGCGCCACACTTTTAAGTCAATACCACGTATAAACACTTTAACTATCTGCTTTTCAGCGTGCTACCTCAACTACTAATGTACAGTTTTAGCCCACTAACTATCCCACTATTGGCAATGGTACTACTGTACTTTCAATAAAGCAATCGTACTATCAAATTCACAAAATCTGAATACATTGCTCTTCTTAATGGGTTCAGTTGACTATTCAATCTGCAATTTCCTATGACCTGTATCCCAAACACACACCATGTGAAACTGTACATGGCCAGCTGTGCACTCAATGGGTATGGACTAGTGTTAGATAAATGTCTTTATTCTAAGCCACACATTGACCTACTCGTGGAAAAGCCGAAGCTGAAACTGGGTTTTTATTATAGAAATAGAAACTGCTTCTCTGTCTACATCAAAAACAGACTGGTCTCTGCCACATTCTTTTTTTTAAATGATGTTTTTATTGAAGGATAATTGCAAATCATACAAAATTACAATTGAAACAATATTTTTTCATTTTCTTATTTCCTGAACAAACAAACATCCCTCACATCACATCAGATTTTTTTTTTTTTTAAAGGAAAAAAAAGGAGAAGGTCTTTTGAACAACAGTGTGTGAGGGTAAATAACAATAATGTACAATTACATACTATTGTTGAGAGTGTTCTAAGGCTATTAAAATAAACTATCAGACATTGCCATTTCTTATAAAAACATTTACCAGAACCCAGACAGAGAATGATGAGGGGTTAGAGGCCATTAGAGACGCATACGCCATTATATCGGCCTGACCGGCAGTTGGAGTAGTAAGGTCCTCTGGAACCCCAAACAATGCTATTAGAGTAAAGGGTTGCAAATCCCTTTTCAAAATTACAGACAAGATTTCCAAAAATGTAGTCTAAGAAGCTCTTCAGTTTGGGACAAAGATAGAATATATGAGCAAGGTCTGCAGGGATGTTACTGCAGTGGTCACATCTATTGTCAGCACTTGGGTAGATCTCCGCTTGCCTTAGTAAAGTGGATACGGCTGGCTCTCCTTACAATTTTGTAGACTTTTTCATCGGCATCCTCTTGTTTACTAAGCTATTCTTGGCCTACTTCCAGCATACTTATGTGTGTGCATTAAGCAAAAAATTTAAAATAGCTCTGCTCTCCATTCACAAAACATGTTTTTATTGTCTGCACCGTGGGTAGGTACAGAGATTGGCAGGTGAGCATTCATGTATGCAGGTCCCTATATGTGGGATCTCCTTCAGAAGGACTTATAGTTGCTCTCGTTGGTTCCTCTCAGCCGTTTCAAAGCACTGTTGCAGGATTTTTGTACACAATCTTGATATGCATGTTAATGTGTACATGGATGACTTGTCCCAACAGTTGAATGCATGTAACACAGGGTGTATGGTTTGGCAATATTTTAAAAAATCATCTTATTTATGCAGATGATTTGGTAGTTTTCTGCCTATACAGTGCCAGCCTACAACAGCTGTTTGCAGATTTGTTCTAACTATGGTGCAGACTTTGACGTCAAATATAAAGCCAATAAGAGCAACATTATGACTGTTAGAAGTAAAGCAGACAGAAAGTTAGTATTTCCTGATTTCTTTGTATCAGGTGCTGCTCTTAAAGTGTGTAATGAGATTAAATATCTCAGCCATCATATTGTCAATGATTTATCTGATGATAGAGATATCCTCAGACAGTGTCACAAGCTTGTTCGCAAATTTAGCATGTGTTCAGTTGATGTGAGGATCGCTCTTTTTAGAGCATTTTGCACTCAGCTGTATACTGCCCCCTTGTGGAGCTCCTATATGGAGGCCAATATGCAAAGACTTAATGTGGCCTACAACGATGGCATGAGACTACTTCTTAAACTTCCACAATGGTGAAGTGCCAGCCAAATGTTTGTAAAAGTTGGTGTGCCTACCTGCCCTGCTTTAATACGTAATCTTATATATGGATATATGTGCAGGCTCTCTGTCTCAGAAAATGGTATCATCCAGGCCTTGGCCAACCCTGAGCTGAGCGCAGTCAGGTTTTCATCGAGACTGTCGGGCCACTGGCACTCCAGCTTGTTTGTGGGTGCAGTTAATTGAATTTTGTCCATTTCTATGAACTTGTATAATGTAGTTTTGGGTATTTTTTGGGGGGGGGGTCTTTTGTATACTGGGTATTTTTGTACATAGATGATTGTCTGTTTTCTGTGTGGTACGCTATGGACCTTTCTTTGTGTCCTTAATAAAGTCATTATTATTATTATTATTATTATTATTATTATATTCTTCTTTTTTATTATGCCAGTGTCACCGTGTGTCTTAGCTGGTCTTTGTAATCATGTATAGTTAACTTTTTGTGTTTTTATGGTTCACTTCTAATATATATTAACATACTTTTTGGCTTTTCTTTGTAGTAATCTTATTTTGTGTTTTATATTGCTTGTTTTTAGAGCTTCACATTTTTATTTTTGTTCTACGTTGTCCGTCCGTAACTTATCTTGCTGCCTGTCTTGGCCAGGACACTTTTGAAAAAGAGATTTTCATCTCAAGAGTTTTTTTCTGGTTAAACAGATAAATAAAAAAAAATAAATGAAGTAGTACCATTTCTTATTTCCACAATTTGCGTTTTCAAAATAGAGGCCGATGATTGGAAGTACATGACAATTCAGTTCCAAGGACAGAGAAAGCCTCGGGCTAGATTTTCACAGTTGTTGCATCTGTGCTTTGAGGCCAGATAGTGTCACTGTTATCACATAAGATATGAAACAAAAGCTGCCCACAGAGTCGACATGCTGTCGGCCTATAGGGCATCTGCATCAATCTACACATTTATCTGGGGGGTTTATGGAAGATTGCTGAGATAAAAATGTTTGGCTTTACATCACTTCAGTGGATTTTTTTCTCATGAAATTCTTTTTTCCTGTAAACCAACTCCCACAAAATCATCAGGTCTCCATCAGCGGTGCATTAAACATTAAACCATCACCATCTCTTTCCCTGTGGGAGGAAGTAAAATGAACTTACAGTGTATGAAGTCTGACACTTGACACTCTCCACAGAACCTCATTATTCATGCCCTGATTCTCAAAGGATCCCCAGGAACATTGTGGACCAGTGAAGTGGAGGTGTGCGCCTTCAGAGCTCAGAAAAATACCAATTTTTATTCTTTCTTATTTCTTTAACTTTTGCAGCATAGATACAATTCTGAATTTTCTGTTCATGACTGATGCAGAGACCCTAATTCATTAATTTATTCATTCATTCATTTTCAGTAATCACTTATGCTGTCAGGGGTCGTGGGGGGGCTAGAGCCTATCCCAGCTGACATTGGGCGAGAGGCGGGGTACACTAGGACAGATCACCAGACTATCACAGCGCTGACACATAGAGACAGACAACCATTCACACTCACATTCACACCTACGGACAATTTAGAGTCACCAATAACAAGCCTGAACTGTGGGAGGAAGCTGGAGTACCCAGAGAAAACCCACGCTGACACGGGGAGAACATGCAAACTCCACACAGAAGGTCTCCCTTGCCTTGGGGTTCAAACGCCCCACCCTGTATTCAAACCGGGATCCCTCTTGCTGTGAGGCGACAATGCTAACCACACTTGTAGCTTTTTCACCTTTGCAGCAGTCTTCAGAATGATGCAGCTATACTTTCATCGACATATGGAGAGATGTCTGTGAGCTAGTCCAGGCAGTCAACTCGAGCTGCACTGATTCATACATGCATGTCATCTACAAAACACACCCTCCCAGTCTGGTGGTCTATTTATGCAGCAAAATCTTCCAGCCCTCCCTTTGCCTCGTCAATGCTGTTGCTGTCCTTCATCATCACTGCTGCTCGCTCTCTCAGCCCCACCTCCACCCCAGCATCCACCTGCAGGCTCCAGCAAGGGGGGGAATATGTAATCATCACTCTGCGAACATGTCATGTAAACATATCTGCAGGGAGAGATTAGGCCAGAGTCTGGATGCCAAACTCTAACTATGTTCTGCTGTTGAAATAA